TTTCCACTTTTCATCCTTCTTCACAAACCCAGTTTCACTCTTTACCTTAAAAAAAAAAAACACCTTAGAAGCATATTTTTTTCCTATCCGCTTTTCTGTTCACCACTCCTTGTGTTCCTTTCCTGAGTTGACTGTGCCTTTTGTTTCTTTCCAACCTTTTCCATCTACTACAATTACATCCTCAGCAGCTTCTCAGAGTTGTGTCAGCCTCAGTAGCAGGCTTCCCTCCTCCAAGAACCATTCCTTCTACCGCATCTGCCTGGGCAAAGGACATGCCATACTGCCAGTCCCTCACAAAGCAGACACAGAGGAATTGGGTGACCGCCTGAAGGCTGAGCTTTGGAAGAAGTCCCTTCAAGTTGCCAGTGCCTCCAAGTGCCAGGGACAGGACCTCAGCGGCAAGAGAAACCCTGATCAACCTGCATCCACCTCAGAGGGTTGTTCACTTGGCAACCGCACAGTCAGGAAGGCTGCCAAATGCACTAAAAAGATGGCCACCGCCAAAGAAAAGGTGCAGTGAGAGCCCCCTCAACCCACCACCCCGAGGATCCAGTTGACATCGCTCTCCGACCAATCACGATCCCTGGCACTGAGGAAAGACCCAGCTTGTGGGTCGGCATCCAAAGGGGAACCCCGATGCAGCCGTCAGGTCACCAGCTCACCTGCTGTCACAGACTTCAACACTGAGGCAATCGGCACACACCTGAGAACGGGTTGTGCTGCCCCTTGAAGACAGCTTGGGGTTTAGGCAATCCTCGTGGGTTCCCCCGAGCCCTACACCACCGCAGTTAGAGAGCAGCTTAATGCCAGAGTGATCCAACACGGCCTTGCATGATCAGCGGCCATGGGATACTGGGACAAACCCCACTCTCCCCTCATTGACTGGAAGTGAGTCTCCATTGCTCTGCTCTTGAGAGGGATCCACCATCACAGATGTGTATCACATCTGGGGAGCACACTGGCAGCCTACAGACGCAAGGGACCTAGGATCACAGAGCATCCCACAGGCACATCAACTTCCTGGAGATGCTAGCTGTTCTCAACACCCTGATCTCCTCCCAGTCCTCCCTGCCCCGACAGCACAAACATGATGTCCTACATCAACAAGCAAGGAGGCATATAGTCCATTCCATTGATGAAACTGGCCAGTATCTTGATACTGATGTAGAGACAGGGACATAACCATCACAGCAATCCACATAGCAGGCAAGAGCAACGTCCTGGCAGACACCCTCAGCCCCAGGAGCCTCGGCACGGATGGCTGGCAGCTCAGCACAGCAATCCTTGAAGACCTGCACAACAGATGGGGAGCGCCATCAGTAGACCTATTTGCCATGACTGACAGTTCTACATCCCTGAACTCCTGTTCCTTGGTGGGGTGAGGGGCTGGCTCCCTGGGGACTCCTTTCTTTCCCAGTGGTGGGGAACCCCTTTTCTACTTTACCTGCACCTTCCCTCTGATCATGAGTCAGGAGACACTGGACAGATTGTATCCTTCTCACCCCATGGAGGCCGAGGAAACTGTGGTTCATCCAACTTCTCTAGCTTTGCCATGGGGACTTCCTTCAGCTCCTGCATGCTTTGGGACCTGGTCTCACAAGACCAAGGCCAAGTTCTCCACCCTGACATAGGGATCTTGCACCTCACAGCCTGGAGAATTGTGCCTCTAGAGCCCACAGCAGGGCCACTGCCCCAGGAAGTCACACCCATCCTCAAGGTGGCACTTAAACTGTCTACAAGGAGGTCTTACTTGACAAAATGGAACTTCACCACCTTTGCCTGCCAGAACATCATTGCTCCTCAACGCATCACCGTTGAGCATGTCCTCCATGTCATATAGTTTCTTTTCCAAAAAGGACTAAAACCTTCCTCCATCAGGGTGTACCTAGTGGCCATATCCTCCTCCCTCCTACCAATCAAAGGAGCCTTGATTTTCACACATCCTCCATCTTACAAATTCTTGGAGGGCCTCCAGAACCTTGCCCCCCCCCCCCCCCCCCAATATCTAACCATGCACCCCAGCATGGGGCCTTTCTGTTGTGCTGCAGGGCTTCATCAGTAAGCCTTTCAAACCACTGTTCAAACCAACCTCTGCCTCCTTTCTTGGAAGGTTGTCTTCCTGCTTGTGATTATGTAAGTCAGGCAAGCCAGCAAACTCTGCACCCTCCAGATTGACTCCTCAGACCTCCTCTTCCAGAGAAAAGGCCAGATGCAACCAGACCCATCTCCCCCACCACCAAGGTCATGTCACCTTTTCATCTTAACTAGGACACTGTTGTCTCCCGATTCTTTACTACTTCTGCTAAGCAGATGCATTCCACCCTATGCTCATTAGATGTCAGAAGAGCTCTTGCAATCGATTGATACAGATTGGAGCCACTCCACCACTCATTGATGGCAGCCAGAAGAAAGGGAAGTCACTATCTGACCAGAGGCTGGTGAACTGAGTTGCAGGCACCATCTCTGGCATGCAAACAGTTGGTCTTCATCTCATGGGCCCACTTAGGGGTCACTCCATGCAAGTACTTGCCATGTCTACAGCCAACTTTGTGTGGCAGTCTGCAGGGTGGCTGTGTGGTCCAAACCCTCAGCATGCATCAGGCACTACAGGCTAGATGTCCGTGTAAGGGCTGATTGTTCCTTCAACAGAACAGTCCTCTCCTGTTCTCCATTAATGGCAGCATGCCTTCATCCTTCATCAGGTACACTTGCTAGTCTCCCATGTATGTAGTGCACAGAGATCACAGAGGAAAGACAGGTTGCTTACTTTTACTAGTCATTCTTTGAGTGATCCTTTGTGCATTCGCACAACCCACTCTCCAGCCCCACTTGGTGTTGTCCTTCCAACTATAACCTCCTCGCTTATCAGGGCCATAAGGGGCTGGACTCGGTTGGTGATATTTCTTCCCTCGACCCATTGTCTTCACAGAACTAGGGATGGGCAGGAACCTCTCCCCACACTGTCCTGGAACAGGGAGGAGGATCCATCCGATCATGTTTAGTATAGAAGCTTCCAGATGACAGGCTCTGCACAAGTGCAAAGCCCACATGTGTGAATGCACAGATGACCACTCGAACAAGTTACAGGTAAGTAACCTGCCCTTTTCAGAGGCAGCATTTTCCAGGAAACTCACATCAGTGTGTTTATTCTATTTACATCCCATCCTTCCAGCCAAGATGCGACTTGGCCCAGATCATCAGCTACTGTGCTGCTTCTTATGGCTTGCATATAGCAGTGATTTGAGTTTGAGTAGCCTTGTTGCACTCACACACCAAAATCCTAGCAAGGTTATACAACCTTAGTGAAATCATCAGCATAGTACAGAAAACTGATGTTGTGAAATCTACAATTTTATTGCAGATAACAAAATAATGAACAATCAAGATGCCATAGAAAAAGCTGTTAGTAGAGGCCAGTGTCTATATAAAATATCAAGTTACACCAGCTATCCCATGCATGATTTCTATAGGTAAGTGATGGAGGATCGTATACTTTGTTTTGTAGTTTTTACATTTTGCATGTTGAAAAAAATGAAAGTCTAAACTTGTTGACATTCTATTTCAGATGTCACACTTGTAACACCACAGACCGCAACGCTATATGTGTAAACTGTATTAAGAAGTGCCATCAAGGACATGATGTGGAATTTATTAGACATGATAGGTATGATGAACAACTTTGGGCTGAAAACTTAAATACACATTTAAGTTCAGTGAATATTTCACAGATTTCTCTCTTCTAGGTTTTTCTGCGATTGTGGTGCTGGAACGCTGTCCAATCCCTGTACACTAGCTGGAGAACCAACACATGATACAGATACACTATATGACTCTGCTCCTCCTATAGAATCTAATACACTGCAGCACAACTGAATTTGAGAAAAAAGTCCTGCCATTCTATTGTTAACTGTTAATTTTGTTTTTGAGGAAGTTATACTTGCCCATTTCTGCAGAGAGAGAATGAGAGAGAGACTTTAAAATGGATGTGTAAAGTGGTGACACTATGGAGCTCAACCTACCAAAAAGAAAGTGGCAATATGTTGACTCAGGATAACAGAACTGGGCGTTTCAGCATTACTGTGTAAACAAAGACGAAGGGACAGATGTGAAGAAAATAAGCTGCATCTTTGTACAGATACCAACTCCCAAGAGGCTGGTGTTTCTACAAGTAGCATTGAAGCGCAGTCCCATTTGCAGTAGTACTATTCTGTAGACGAGCAGCAGTCTTTGTTGCTGCCTTTATGGACATGGGTACCAATTGCTTTTTGTAATATGGTAAAAATGTGAGCTAGCACTTCTGCATTTATTTTGATTTTTTTTAACATTTATTCAGATTGAGATGATTTTAATGCTTTAATCTCATGTAGTTTTTAATTTCAAGCAAATCTTATTGTACTTGAATGTGTCCTGTTTTGTTAGCACACCTAGACTTGCTGTAACTGTACTCATGTCCCAGTATGTACGTTCTTTCTATGAAAGAGAACACTAATCTTAAATTATATCCAGCAATTTTTCTGGTATCCTTTGCAGTTAGACTCCCCCTCCCCCCTCCCGCTCTTTACATCACCTTAAGAAACAATGTTTTAATGAGACTTCTTGGGAGATAATGCACTATAAAACAAAGTACACAGGTGACAGTTTGCAAGTGGAAATTTTACTATGTTTTAAAGTACACTGTAGGAGTCTCCCCAAAACAATCCTGTATTTTACTCTGTTCACAGTTTTATTGAACAGTCTGGACATTACTCTTACGAACTGCTGAAAATTGCAATTTCCTGCTCTAATTAAGATGAGACAAAGTATATAGACAGCCCTATACAGTTTCATAGCTTTTTTCCATTTATGTGTATTGGTGACAGTGGGTAATCAACAGCCTGAAAGTGTATGCATGTACCATAACATCTAGACTTAATATATTGTGGAGTATTCAATAACCATTATGTAGAGGGTAGCTAAGAATTAAAAGGGTTTAATTTCCTAGGAAAGACAATGGAAAATGGTCATTTTTAAAAAATAAAGTTTATTAGATCATTGTGTTGTCTGCATACTGCCTTTGAAAACCGCTGTAAAAACTCTACAAGGTCTCAACCAAGAAGCCTAATTAGTTTGTCCAGGTCATTTCTGGTTGCTGGTGCTCCTTCAGCTATCCGGCAAAGGTTCCTGGGAAAACAAAACATGAATTCATTCAAGTAACAAACACACTAACAACAAAAGGAAGGCAACATTATTAATAGCACTGCTTTTTACTGCCCTGTCCACACATCATTTAACAATGGTAAAATGCAAGAGAAGTTCAATGTTTTTACCCAAACACCACCACCCCTACTAAAAACAATTCAGCTTGCGACATCACACAGCAGCTGCACATGACCTTGTTTTAAACCTACCTCCTGCAGGATGTAAATAGTCTGAAGGTGATCTAGCACCCTCTCGGGCAAGAGACGTTACACCAACTCACCTAAACACTTTCAGGGAGAAAATAGCTCGCTCAAACTCTCTCGCCTTTTTGTGACCTTTCTGAATAACTTCTTCTGGAATGTTAGCAAGCCTTGCCGCATTAAAGCCATAGCTTTTAGGACATGCCCCTTTAATGAATTTGTAAAGGAATGTGATTGTTTCTTGACTGGGATCCTCGCTTTCATTTTCCACCATACATGCCTAAAAAGAACAGGAAATCAATTAGCTTACAGGACTCCCATCTCCCGTCCCCCTTGATCCAGTCACTTTAACAGCCCATGCAAGTGCCTACAGCAAAATGACTGATTTGGTTCCTGAGCAACTAGTGACCCGTCATTAATAGTTTTGGTGAAAGTGGGTTGACTGAAACAAGCATTTTTACTCAAAATGATGTTTTAAATTGCGATTTTAAATATTGCTTAATAGGTTAATTAATTTGACATGGTGATTCTACAGTTAGTTTTTACAGTCTGTAATAAAGACACTTGAGTTTATAAAGTTTACATAAAACCACCAATTCAATCATTTCTGCACCAAAGAATCAAAAAAGGTACGTCTTTTTCACCTGAAGGAACACCACAATCTGTCCAGTATCTGCCTGTCATGGCTGTTTTCTTTTTGTTTGCTATACCTATTCATGTGAGAACAGGGCCAGGCCAACAAAAAAACAGCTGAGTAACACTAGAAAGAAGGTTCCAGTAAGCAGAAACTTGTATTAAGGTCTTGTATCACTTAATGCTAGAGTGCCTGTTTTATTAAAACCCTTTGCAGTCACACAAAACATCTGAAACTAAGCACTGGGAAATACCACACTTGAAGGACAAGGAGACAATTTTTACGTACCATGTGTCCCAACTTCACGGAGGGACTATGAGAATAATCCTCTACTAAAGAATGGTAATGTGTTGAAAACATAGTGCGGCATTTAATATTCTCTGACAGTTCTTTGACAACTGCACTGGCAATAGCAGTTCCATCAAATGTAGCTGTACCTCTGCCTGAAAAATTGAGAAGAAGAAGTCATCTTCATTCAAGGTAGAATGAGGTCATCCAGACAGCTACTGTAACTGACTACTGAGCACACCTGCATGATTCAATCTAAGATACCACCTCTTTGCATCTTGCCCAACAGAAAGTATGTATCTGCATTGCTGGAAAACTTAAAACAGCAATCTTAAGAAACCCTTCACTTACAACAGTGGTGGCGAACCTATGGCATGCATGCCGCAGCAGGCACACAGAACCCTCTCTGTGAGCATGTGAGCCAAGTCGCCCCAGCAGCTGAGCATCAGATAACAGCACACACGGGCCATGGGCATGCTCAGAATGGAGTAGCGGCACCAGGCAATGACGCCACGAGCTGCAACTCATTAGCCGCGACTCATCCAAGCTTTTGCATAGCCAGTCAGTGCGCTGCCAAGGAGAGATATATATATACACACACTTGGACTGGCTGAGAGTTGTTTTTTCTAAACCAAGACCTCAGTATTCAGATTTTATTGCAGTGTTGGCACTCTGCAATAAATAACGGGTTTTGGGTTGCAGTTTGGGCACTCGGTCTCTAAAAACTCGCCATCACTGACTTAGAACATTTGAATTCTGCACTGAAAAAAAATTGAAACTGATCCCAGGTTGGATTGTTTCTTTTTGTAACATCACCAAGGCTTGGACTAGAAGCCCAATCCTGATGCCCCAGGATGACGTGGGAGAGAAGAAACTGACATCAGAAATGAGAACAATAGTTTTACCAGCACTAACTTTCTCTTTTTCTAGTTTCTATGGATGTTAAGTTCATTTGCTTTCAAATCTCTCTTGGTTACATTATTTTTGAAGGAACATTGCAGAGTTCAACAAGGGGAAGGCAAAATTAGTTCGCAAAGTCTCAGTAAAAATGTTCATGTAGTGAAATGAACTGGGTGCGCAGGTTTACTGAGCCCTAACAATCCTGCCCCTCAGTTTACAATGTTAAATCCTTAAGTTGTGTATGAAGCTGGCCTGTAGGGTCACTCTTCATTACTGATTTGCTTGACTCAGTCTTCTGTCAGTGATCACCCACAGTCGTTGCAATGCATTTTAGCCTCATCAGTATAGTCCATTTTTCTAAGATGGAATAAAACTACTGTTTGTTTTAGAAGTGCATAATTCGTTGATAATAATGTGCAACATATATCCATGTTATAAGCTTTGTAAAATCTGTAACCAGTAGGTGAGTTTATATGCTTGAGTTATTGTTTCTGAACACAATTCTAATTCTTGTTTTGTGCTTGTGGCAGTGTACTAACCAAGATTTTTGTAGCCAAATAATGATGGCCTCGTAACTATGGGGCCTACCTTCTTGAGCTGGAATTCCACACTCTGGACTTCATAGTAAATTCTATAGAACTACAGCATGGAGAGGTAAAGATAATCTACTTCAACTTTATTAGGTTACCCTGAATTCATCTGCAGTAATTCAGAATAACCAAAAAGAAATACTTCATGCAATGCAGAATTTATGGAATTCTCTTCCATGTGGTCAGCATTAATTTAGGTAGCTCCAGTATACAGAGCTCCAAGGATGGCTAAGAAAATATACTGCACAATTACTTTATAAGACACCTGAAGGCAACAATAATTAAACCAAGTTCTTGAGGAAATAAAAGCTAAAACTTTGCAATCTCTTAAAAGGACTAAGGATCTCAACCAAACTGAAAAAAAAGCGAACTTTTAAAAGTGTGGCATAGTTGGGGGGAGGGGGAAAGCCAAGCAAGGAAACCCAGAACAGAACTTCAGATGAAGGCTTGCTAAAGGCAGTGAATTAGTTTATTACCCAAGACACTAAATGGAACCTCTGTAAGCAGGTGTACTGTCAATACGCTGAGGGCAGAAAAAGGGATGGACATCCTATTGACAAATTAAGGCACATCATTCCCTAGTTTTGGAAAAGCAAGATGAAAAAAAAAAGAGCTGAGGGTGCTATCACCACGCCATCCTGTGGTACTTCCATATATTTGGAACACAGAAAGCTTACGTATACGAAGTCAGAAAAATGGCCTATCTAGCTCAGTATAGTGACACTAACTGGCAGCCGCTTTCAGGTAGAATTTTTGCTTTGCCTTCACTGGAAATGTTGCCACTGACCCTGGAACCTTGAGCCTGCAAAGCACATGCACCACTGGGACACGCAGACCTTTGGAGAGAAACACCCTCTTCAATGTGTGCAAGAAGAGCTAATCCATGCAGTGCCGCATGCATCTAATGTCTAGTCTAAAATGGGCTCTCAGCTTAAACCCTCTGGATGCACTGCTAGAATGGCAGGGAACCATAGGTGAGGCAAGTGCTGTACAGGTGTGATCACTGAACACACAGTGGTCAAGCGCCCTCAAATACAATAAAACATGAATGCATATAACGCCACACAACTGGGTTCTTGCTTGCCCACATCACATTTAAGTCAGGAGCGGGGGCAGGTAACTATGGCCTGCCAATCACCAACTGGTAACTTACATGACTAGCTGGTGTTTAAGGAGTCTCTGGCTGTATTATAGCTTGATTTTAAAAATTCCTTCTACATACCTAGTTCATCCATAAGAACCAGGGAATGCTCTGTTGCATGCTGTAATATACTTGAAGTCTCACTCAGCTCAACGAAGAATGTACTTTCCCCTAGTAGGGAAAACACATGCTTTGAACAACAGACAGTAAGAACAATCCTTCCACAGACACTTAAGTATTTTTACAAAATCAGAAATGATAATGCTGGTAGCATGGCATGATGTTCAGCACCCTTGTGACATACTAACATTTCTAAAATAAAGGCTGACTTGATAGTAAGTGTGGTAGAGAAAGATAACCATGTGCAGGTCTGCAAGTCATTCATGATCCTCCATGCAATGGTCTAAATTGAGCCATTAGGTTGAATGGAAATCTAATTCCAGAAAACAAATCTGTATTGTTTTCAAAACCTATTTTAGAATCAGCTGCTTTCCCTCTGCTGACTAAACATGCACCTAAACATTTGTTTGGAATGCTGAGCATCTTCCTATCATGCACTTTGTGACAAGAGTGCCATACGCAGCAAATCCATCAGGCCTAGAACCTCCCTATACCACATGTTCCTTGTGTTTACTTGAATGATCAATAAAATTAAGTAATAGTCATAATTAGTTTTGGGTTTTGGTTGCTACATTTTGCAGTCCAGGTGAATAGAACACAGTTTTAGTTCCAGAGACTATTTGCTCAAGTGCCTACCACTATCACTGCAGCTTAAGACTGCTCAGTGAGGTCCTCAACTGTTTGGGAACCTGAACCTAGTTTCCAGGACCACAATAACTGGCATTAGCTCAACATTGTTCTATATGGATTATACAACGATCCTAAGAAGCAAGAGGACTCACTAGGTCTTACTCCTAGATAATTGTGCACAAGGCGGTAGTCTTAAAAAGCTACAATGAGTTTCCATTTTTCTAAAAATGCCTGGTTTTTGGCAGTGTTCAATTATTTAAACTTCATGATTCTCTTGTTACTTATATAATGCTGATAATTCACATTCAACACTCTAAATGACCTAACTGAAGTTAGAGAATAATTTATTTTTCGACTCCAGACAGGTACAAACACATGCACACAAACAAAACTCACCTGACATAATCCTATCTGAAGCCCCTAGTCTGGTGAACACTCTATCAACAGGAGTAAGCGTGCAAGATTCAGCAGGTACAAAGCATCCCAACTGGGCCATTATTACCAAAAGGCCAGCCTGCAAAGTAACAAAGCCATTAACTGTTAGAAAATGTGCTTCACTTGTTGTCTCCAGAGCTGACCAGTGCACAGAAAAATCCTTCTGTTCCTCACTTTTTCCAGCTGCAGCTCCACTGAAATCAAGCTGCTTGTACCTGGACTGACAATACACATGGATACTTTCAGAGAGACAGCTTGCTGCACTGCTTGGAGTGTTAAACATGGGACCTAGGCAATCTGCTGGGTTCTATTCCCCACTCAGACATTAAACTTGCTAGGTGACTTCAGACCAGGCACTCACTCGCAGCCTAAGCCACCTCACAGGGTTATTGTTGTGAGGAGAAAGGTCACCAGAAGAGCATTATGTAAGCGACCCTGGGTTCCTCGCAAGAAAAAGGTGGGATATAAATGCAATATAACTGAGAGCCAACTCCCCCTTTCCCCAAAACAAACCTCCACAAAACAAGCATCTCTACAAAGAGGGATAGATGATGCAACACTCCACACACTAACCTTTATTTTTAATTTTGAATTCTTTCCTCTTACTTTAAGAGCTCTGTCAAGTCATAGAGAAACTCTTGCAGGGACTAGCAGCATCTTGTAAAGATGCCTTCCCTGCAGGATCTGGAAAACTGGTCAGGATGGAGGGCAAGATGGATGAAACCAAATACAAGGCAGTTTTAGAAGTAAAACTGTTTCAATCTGCAAGCTACCTGGAACTATGGAGGAGGTTCACCTTCCTGCAGGACAGTGACCCTAAACAAAGGAAAACTGCCGTGTTTAAAAACCATGAACTTGGATGTTGCAGCACGGTGACAGGGAATCTGTGACAATGCTCACACATCACTGTTCACCTGCAGTCCCTCCCTATTGTGGGACAGGTTTGCTATAGCCAACAGTGCAAGATCCAGATGTAGAAAGCTGGCAGAGACATTCCCAAAAAGCAACTGTAATTGCGGCCACAAGTACTTCTAGCAAGTACTGACTCAGGGGAAATAACATCTTATGCAACCAACAAGTACCAGTTTTTTGTGCCACAATACAAATAGTTTTGATGTGCCCTTAGGCACATCAAGTGTGCACATTTAATTTAATGCCAATTAAATTACTTTCAATTCCAGGTCATATCTCACCAAATACAGAAAAGTCAATGGGGTTCATGTATTTATTAAATTTCTACTCCACTCAATTGCCAGGCTGACTCTCTGGGCAGCTTACAAAATATATTAAGAACAACAGCCACAAATATATTAAGTATATACACAACAATAAAATAACAGCAATAAAATGCAGAAAAGCCTCACAGTAAGGCTCCACAGCAGCCACAATTCAATTAAAGCAAAGGCACAGTAGCACTAAAATAAAATACCATGTAACAGATTTCTTAAAAATCACTTAACCATTAAAATATTGGGCAAGCGAAAAAGGTCTTTGGCGGTAAAAAGAGAGGGGGCGGCAGGCAAGCCTCTTTGGGGAGCTAGTACCAGAGTTGGGGTGCCACTACCAAGGAGGCCATTCTGGTAGCCACCCTCTTTGTTTCCTTCAGGGGGGTTCTCTGTGAAGGACCTCAGATGATGGAACTTAGGGTCCAGGTAGGCACATATGGGAAGAGGTACTTCTTTGGATAACTTGGCCTCAAGTGGTTCAAGGCTTTAAATATTAACACTCTAAATTGGGCCCAGATTTCAAATGGTAACCAATCAAGTTGATAGAGGACTGGCATTGTAAGTTCTGATCAGCCAACCATCGTCAAGGCACTGTATACAGGGAATTGGAGTTAAAGGGTCCAAAAGAGCAACTAGCTCCATGTTCTTGAAGTAGACTCACCTAGCCTTCAGCCTTACCTGCAGTCTGTTTACTGGAGAATCACAATGACAAGTAAACTAAGCTACATATTTGCAAGGAAAGGCAAATACATAGTTTTTCCTTAATGGTCAGCCATAGATTAAACAAACCATGGCTAGTCAGGGCCAGAAGCAACCCAGTGCCTCCCAACTGCCAACTCATTTCTGTTTTAATAAACAACACTGGATCACCCTGTTCTTAAGTTATTCACCATGATGCCCTAAAATTGTGTAACAAATCATAGCTTAAAACTTGAGCTGTTTCTCCCTCAACAATCCAGAGTGCTGGGTTAGGACACTGCAGTAAACATTCCTGGGTTGTCTGCTGAAGCTGAGGGAAAGCAGAAGTGGCAAGCAGGAAGGATAGCACATGTGAGTGACCACAACAGCCCAGCTGTGAAAAAAAATGGATAAAAAATCCCCAGGATACCACCAATATGCACTCATCTGTAGAGAAGACCAATCCCAGTTAAGAAGCAAAAGTGTATTAAAGATGTAAAACATGCTGCAAAGTGCCTTGTTCTACAGAATTACCTGTCTCATGAGTGTAGACTTTCCTCCCATGTTTGGGCCAGTCACTAGCACACAGCAAGCATCACTTTCAGAATTTGCCTCTTCATTCTGTACGCCAATAAGGATATCATTGGGGATGAAGTCATCTCCAAAGAATGTTTTTGTAATGCATGGGTGGCGGGAGCGTTTTAGCACCAGAAAAGGTGTAGTATTGTTCTCCGGAAGCACAATTGTAGGTCGACACAATGGTCCATCACATCCCTGACTATAATGTGCAAGGCACAATAGGACATCTGTGAAATCAAAATGAAATCTTGGTGAGTTAGATTTCTTGCTTCCCATGTTCCTTCTTATGAACACTGGCTTGTGTCCTGTAGCTAGCCTACCAGTTACTTCAAGCATTGACCCTCCAGGACTGTATGTTTTCCATACTTTACCATGTTTAATCCAGTTGTCTGAACCCAGAAATGTGCTACCAGAGTCTGGCAGAAAGAGCAACAATTGCAGGAGCCACTCTAGCATCCAGCCTCCATATGCAGACGAATGCCTAAGAGGCAGGTGACATAGGCATGATTGCTGCACCTGAGACAGAATTTCAGCCCATGAAGGTTGATGGGATATGTGCCACCAGCAGGAAGACTGAGGCAACAGGGTGGAAACCATGCTATTATCTGACAACCCCACCCAGGTGAGAAACCACATAGCATGGTTTAGAATTATGTGTGAATGCAGGCATTATGTTGTTAGCTTACATAAACCACTGGCCACTATGGAAGATACAGCAAGTGGTCATTAGCAGATAGGAAGAGGTCATTATATAGATACATTTTACACTAGGTATATTCCTTAGTATTTTCTTGCAGATATGCTCTTTTAAATTATCTACCTGTTTCTTGGAAGTTAATGCATGGTCAATGCAAAGGGATTCTCCATGTCTTTGAACAGCTATAAGACTTATACTGCAAGAATAAATGCTTATCTCTTGTAATACTACAGTAGGGATGCGAAGATCCTGCCAGAATACAGCTCTCTTGTGCTCACCAGACTTCTTTCCCATGCTTGGCACTGGCCAGGAAGCAAGTCAAAGCAAAACGAAGTCGGAAAACATATGGGAGCATTAATATACCCCTTCTTTGCACGCAAAGTACACCAAGGCTGCAAATCTCACATGCAAGAGCAGAACTCCATTTGCGCAGCAAGTGTGCAAGTGTCACAAGCTAGCCTCATGGATTTGGTTCCTGCTGAATGCCTGTGCAAACGCTCAGCATGAGGTGGACTTAGGGAAGAGAGAAGGAGAGCTGTAGTCCGGGAAGACAAGCTCAGCAAATACGATAGATTCACACCCTCAAACCATATTCCTCACACATTGCCACCTAACAGTGCTTTCAACATTTGAACAGGTGGTGTACATATATCATCTCTGAAAGAATACATTTGTTGAAATTTAAGTATAGTTCTTACAAACCTGTATTCTCTCTCTTTCAATCTCCCTCAAACACAAATCTTGTACAGTCAAATTTATCTAGCTAACATTTTTCTTTCCCCTTTCACTGAAATTTTATAACTATTTTTTTAAAGTTGTTCACTTAAAAATAACTTAACTTATATGACTTGTATACACATCCCTATCCCAACCACAAAGAGAAGGAAAAGACATTTTGCTTTCAGGTCAGGTAATACAGAAGGAACAGGTCAGACTATTGATTTTCTTGTCTCTGCCAGGGTGCACACCACACTAAAAAGTATGTAACACTATACACCTGTTAGTTTTTAAAATACTACAGGGAGTTGGGTCCTTTTTGCTAAGGTACACTAGTATAGCTTCCCTTCTTAAATTTGTGAAGGAGACAATTGTCAGAGTCAACTAATAGGATCCTTTCGGCCACAGACTGCTTTTGGCACACAGTACTGAATGCATCTAATTCAGCAGTTCATCATGTCAGGCAAGTCCTGTTCTCTCAAGCATGAGAAAAAATAGGTGCCCTGGATGCAGGTGACTTAAGGAAAGGGAATCCAGAGGAGGAGCCCTAGCCCTTCAACATTATCCAAGTTATTGGACTGATCAGGGAAATCTTGTTGCGGGCCAAAATAAGTTTTCGACCCTGGTCTTTGTGCACAAAGCACACCACCATTATAATCAGTTGTATCTGTTACCCATATTTTGGAGGAAAATTCTTATTATTTCCAGACTCACCCACAAGGCTCAGGACCTGTATGCACCAAAGGAGTGTAGCTTTTACATGACTACACATTTGAAGCAGTATTACATACCATGTTGCTCACAGAATATGCTTATCCATTACCAGGACAGCACGTGCAGTGAAAAAACCCTCTTCATATTACATTTAGGACTGTTGTTTTTGCTTTCCCCATTCTCAATATATGCAGCGGTACTCTAGAAAGTCCTACTCAATGGCAACATACTATATTACAGAATTTGCCCAACCCCTCCATTTCTGAGAGGCCAATCTGTATTCAAGGAATAAGGAAGAATATATTAAATGACCCAATACCTTTGCTAACAGGTATGCTCTCTAAAAGTAAACAGAATAATTATTAAGGCATTTTCAGGTACAGAGCACTTGCAGTTTAAGATTAATGGTGAGGCATTACATACAAAACCCAAGGCCCTGTAATATAGCTTCAGAAAAAGTATTTCCCCTTATATGCAGCACTGATCTGCTATTATTTAAAGATGTATTTTGATTAAAATCTGGAAAGGCTGATTTATATCTGATCAGTCACCAGCTGATCAGCCGTAAGATAAGACACTTGAACAGAAAGACACATAAGATAAAAAGACACTTGAACACAAAAATGGGACACCATAATGCATTAAGAGAAGGCTGAATATACGATTATGTGCTTTACCGGAAGACTACATACCTAGTACCGCAACACATTCTACTGCTGTTTGCCAGTCTTTGCTGCTCTTATCAAAGTCGTAGAACAACCTTTTCATACAGTTTTTCTGTGCTGCATCCCTTCGCTCTTCAGCATTGACAATATCATTTAGCATCTTCTCTATGTCTTTGGTCCAGTATCGCTTATAGCCCTTTCTGCTTGACTTCAACACATACTCATCAGGCAAATCCCTTGGCACTGCAGTCTCTGAAATCTCCATTTGATAGCGGTTTTTGCCTGCTCCCCAGTACATCATAGCTCTGACACCCAGCCGTTTGCGCTGCTTTTCTAGATACTGACGAAGGCGTTCCTCAACATCACTTATATCCTCCAGTGCTTTATCATAATCAGAGTCAAACCCAGTTTTTGGATTAACCACACCAGTCTTCCGTGCAATGTTATGATCAAAGGCTGCATCCCACCTTTCAAGTTCTGCTTTTAAGTCTGGAAAAGAGCCTGCGGGGCTTTTGGATTTGACAGTCACTATCTGTTTTAGTGTTTTGGATTTAAAACCATCCACAATATCTTCCAAAATTGAGATAACTTCAACTACTACTTTAAACCCTTCTAATGTAGACAAGAAGTCTATGATCTTCTTCTTGCTATACCTGGCCTCTTCATAGAGAACGGCTCTGTTATCTGGGTGATTTTGGTTCTTAAGTGAAGATCCAATACTATGAATTTTGCTCAAAAGCCTCTCAAGGTCTGGTAGTTTTTTCAGAAGGTCACGGATTTCAGACATTTTGGCAGCCTCAGCTAGGAGGTCTTCAACCGCATCCAAACGGTCATTGATAGTGCAAGGATTACACAATGGTGCACAGAGCCATTGCTTTAGGAGTCTCCTTCCAAAGGGTGTACAACAAGTGTCAATCTTTTCTAGCAAAGTGCCTTCTACCGAACCAGTAGTTCCATTCTGTAGTATTTCCAGGTTTGCTAGAGTTACCCCATCCAGCACCACTCTCTGGCTTGTTTTAACAAACATATTACTTGACTTCATTCCTTTTGTAATATCAACATCCACAGGAACATATTCTTCAAATTTTGCCATTGATAAAAGTTCTTGGTCAATAATGCATTTCTTAAGATAGAAGACACAACCGCCAAGAGCAGAGAGCGCAAGCTCACCATTTTCCCCAGGAGTAAGTCCCAACGAATCATTTTCTGCAGTCAGGGATCTGATTACTGGAGGCAGAGTGAGCCCACTGTTCACATTTTCCTTGTCCTGGAAATAGCATTCTTCAGTGAGAGCTTTTAGTGTTTTAGATGCAGTCCAGAATTGAGAGCCAGCAAACAAACCTTCCTGCACAGTAGAGGGAAGTAAGTTTTTGAGAATCTTCTGTGTTTCTGCAGAAGGATTCCCTCGCTCAAAAAGGATCTGCACAGGTGTATAATGAGCCAAAAGGGTTCTAAATCTTGAGCAATGGCGATCATCCAGAAACTGACCCAAATAAAACCTTCCCACTGTTGTATCAACGAAGCATACTCCGTAGGTACGGTGAAGACCAGCAGAATCATCAACTTTTTCTTTCACACAAAGCAGGTATCTGTTGTGGGTGTCTGAATAGTCACCATCCAGAACACTGTAGGTTTGTGTTCCTTTGGAAATTATCCTACATACTTCTCGGCGTACAACCCTGTCAAATTTTGTCGGGTGAACCAAAGATTTACAGCGAGCTTCCATCATCTCTGGAGTCTCCATCTGCTCAACACGGACAACTTTGTGACCTTTCTGAACTAGGATATTGGAGAATCTGTCAAAGGCTATTTCTGGGAAACCTGAGTGAGCCCAAGTACCTTTCATGAATAACAGCCCAAGTTTGTTAACCCCAACAACAGCATCCATGTGGTACAATTCATAGAACTTTCCAACTTTATAGAAAATCACACAGTCAAAGTTCTGACTCTTAAGCTCCCACCACTTTCGCATTCCAGGAGTACAGTTTTTAAGATAGTCTTCTGGTACAAAAAGAGTACTCGGATCATAATCTGGGTCACTTTGTCGTCTCCTATGACCATCTTTCCTTTTACCATCCTGGAGCCAATCAATTTTATCATGTTCCCACACAGTTGGGCTGGAATCTCCTCCTCCTCCATTAATAGTTGATCGATAATCGAGACAGTCAGGTGATGCAAAAGATGCTAATTTATACATGATCTCAGAAGAAAGGTTGATTTCTCTGCTGGGCGTTTCAGGAAAGTTGTTTTTAATAGTATCCTTCTGGGGAGGTTTATATACCTTTTCTTGCATTTGTTTAGGAGAGTGTTTAGAAAGGACTTTAACAGGATGTTTCACTCTCTTTTCTGGGCCAGTCTCAGATTCAGATGCCTCACTGTCACCTATTCCAGCACTATTTTCATCACTGCTGACTTGGTCTGGCTTAAATTCCATGTCTGAACCCTCATTATCACTGTCTGAATCTATGAAAACTTTCCGCCTTTTGACTTTTCCATCATGCTTCTGTCGTCCGGCTATCCTTTTATTTCTACTTTTTTTCACTTCCTCTGCTGTGTCAAATTCATCACCTTCATCACTCACCTGCTAAAAAAAAGAAAGGTCAAATGGCATAAAAAATAGATATTTGAAAAACCAATAATTAAACAACTAACATAACAGCATGAAAACCAGTGATAGGAAAATCAGGAAGTCAGCAAAATTATGCAAGAGAAAAACAAGATACAATATACTATGACAGCTAACCTGAACAAGAACAACAAGTTGCTTGCTAAAAATGCTACCTTGAAATGAAAAACAGCAGCTACATGATATCCTGTTTACTTTGCATTATAAAAGAAGAAACTGAGAATAGCTTGGGGCCTCAGTCTGGAATGATCCACTGTGTCTTTATTTTGCAGTATAATCTTTAAAAATCTTCACACCCATGTTGTGTACTAATTGGGCTATACGCATACCAGAATATGAACAGGTCTGCTTTCTAGACAACAATTGGCAACCCGGATGGGATTTAAACGAACTTGGACGACTCTAAATAGGCTGATGAAAAGTAAATGTGTTTGAAAAACCTCCAGGGGCTGGAGCTGAGATTTGTTCTTGCTATTAGTGTACATAAGGGTCTTAGTAAGGGATCCCTAGCCTCTTGGAGTCATCTGGTGGGCAGGCACCTCCTTTCTGAGGTGTACTGCTCCCCAAAGATTGCTTGGTCTTGTGATCCTCTGGACAGTGTAAAGCAGCACAATGATGGCTCCTTGGAATCATCACTGAGGAGGAATATATGATGGTATTGAAGCAATAATCTGTATTTGAAAATTTAGATTGCTGGAGTACTTGGCATGAGAAAGTTTGAGGTTCTTGGATGATGGACTTGAAGGTTAACAATTGAGAGTTTGGATATTGGTCAGAGAAAATGGTGATTTGTTATATAGATGAGAAAAAGCACTGGTGTTATATGGAACTGCTCATCGTTTTGGAAGCAAGGAAGGAAAAAGTTTGAGTGAAACTAAAGATTTTCCTGGAGGTGGAAACTAGCCAACCCACAACCTAGGAAGAGCAGTAGCTAGATCATACAGCTAGGAACAAAGAGATGCTTATGAAAAAAACACCCTCAGAGCAAGATTTAAATCCATGTTTTGAATCATGAGAGTACAAACTGGTAATTGCAATGCCAAGACTGAATGTTTAGGTAAGAAAAATGAAAGATTATTTGCTCAATGGGAAGTTCTGAATGTTTAGGATGATCTTTGTGTAAATGCATTACCAACTGCCCTACTGTTATCAGTGCATATAGCTGTGATTAAATGTGTGCTTCATTTGGGTAAAGATGTAGAAAAGCATCCTAGTAACTGAAGAATGTGTTTTGCACCACAGTGAGAGTAGGCACTGTCCACGGCCTGATTGTGCTAAGAACATTGTTATGAGATGTTCATGAGAAGTTTGATTGGCTGACACCAAATTTTCTTATAATAGCATTATGCAATTTTGTTGTTGGGCATAGAATGTAGGCAGTGAGATGGCCGGACAAGGTAAACTGAAACATGTTAGAGTCAACTTCCCCCATATATACTTTCTTTTTTCTTTTCTTTCTCTCATTCGTTTTGTTGTTCTTTTTTTTTTTTTTTACTTTATTCTACTTTTTGTGCTAAGGGAATAATACTCAAACTTGCTGCAATTTACGCTCTTAAGGCTTTTTTTGTATATTTGGAAAGGACCCTGAAACAATTTCTTGATGATTAATGATGCTTTATCTGAACTTTAACTAGACCTTAACAGTTGTAAAGTTGTCTGATGTCTCTGCTTAAGAAACTGAGAATTGTGGATGGTGAAAACTGGCCTGGCATGGCTGAGGGTATTAGACCTGGGGGTGTTTTTATGTTCATTCTGTAGCTTCTGAATTGTGATGAAGGACAATTGTGCTTTTTGGACAGCTCAACCTGAGACTGAGATTTTAGCTGCAACTCAGCTTCTTACAGCATTTTATTTACGTACTTGGAAAGAACTTTAAAACTGACACTTTCTTGATGTTCTGAATTTTAATAAGACTTGAAAAGTTGCAAAGCTGTTTGATATCTATATTTAAGAAACTAAGAATTACATGTAGAAGATGCATGGAGATTCAAAAACCCTGGAACTAGACACTATATTTTTTCTGGTAGACACCAGACATAAGCATTGGTATGGGTTGGATATCTAAAAACTTAATTATGAATACAGAGGCTGTAAGGATCCAACCCAAGGTACTTTCCAACCACAACACACTGAAGATAATATGGCGGGAAGAACAAGTTGGAGGAAGAAGATGGAGACTTAATGGCAACCTTTTGTTACAAGAAGGTATTTCAAAAATTCTGAAGTAGTACTGGAAGAATTTTTCAGACTAAATAATACAAGTGGTATCTCTATAGGTACAATGTGGGTAGCCAGTAAAACTTATATGAGAAGATACTTTTTAGAAATAATGTCTAAGAAAAAGAGAAAGAAATCAGAACAAAGAAAAAGAATTCAGGAACGAATTCAAATACTAGAAAAAAAGTTTAATTTTAAATGAACTCAGACAATTAAGAAATCAACTAGACATGATGGAGACAAAGAAGATACAAAAGAAGTTGATTTTTTAAAAAAACACTTTGATCATGCAAATAAACCTTGAAGATATTTAGCGTATTGTCTTAAGAAAGAAATGGAAAGAAGATCTGTAATGGGTAAAAAAAAATGGAATGTATGTTGAAAAGGAAATCCATGACCAATTTACTAGTTTTTTCCTCAAATTTATATTAAAAATACCAACCTCAGAAGATGGAATGGAACAGTACATAAAATAAACATGTCTTGACAAATATACCCCTGAGTACTGAAGTACTGAACGATGCTATTACTATTCAAGTATTATAGCTACCCAAAAAAAAATTAAAAAAGATAAAGCACCTGGCTCCAACAGATTTATTAGTATGTATTACAAGTGCTTAGAGGAAAAATTAAATTTTACCAGTTCAACAAGTAATGAATGAAATTTAAGAGGGCCGATTACTGCCAACATGGTAGGAAGATCATATAACATTGATAAAGAAGGTAATGATCCCATGTTACCACATTCTTACTACCCCATTTCATTATTAAATGTGGACTACAACTAGTCAATAATGGCAGAGAGACTAAGAAAATGTATAGAAAACAGATTCATACAGATTCAAACTTGATTTGTCCCAAAAAGATATATGATAGATAATAAATGTTCTGTGATTGAGTCAATTGAATGGGTCAAGAAGAAGTGGCATGCATATTTTTAGATGCAGAGAAACTTAAGGAAAACTCTCTAATATTTAGACTGTGGCTCAAGCTTTCTTAATTGGATTCAAGCAATTTATACTAAACAACATGCTAAGATTTTAATTAATGGTGTATTAACTGGCAGTTTTCAATGGAGAAGGGAACATTCCAAGCATGTCCTTAATCACCTCTTTTACTTATTCTTGTACTGAAAATTTTAGCAAAGAAGATGAGACCTGAAAATTGAAAATTTAAAACAAGTGAAGAAGAATACAAAATGAAATGTTATGCTGATGGCATAGTTTTGACTGTTCTAAATCCACATCAGTCTATGCAGTATATAATAGAGCAAATGGAAAAATTGGATTATATTCAGGCTGTAAGAGATCCATAACAAAAAACAAAAATTATACTAAAATTTGCAACAAAGCAGAAGAGGAAAGCATAAAAAAGATTTCAGGATGTGAAATAACCTCAAACTGTGTTAATCACTTAGGGATAAATATCATGGGACATAATGACACACTATTTCAAGATAATTATCAAATAATGTGGATGAAGATCCAGAACAATTTACAAAAATGGACTAAACTAAAAGTATCATGGTTGGGAAGATTTTCTATTCTAAAAATGAAAGTACTACCTAAATTTAACTTTCTATTTCAGATGATACCAATTGCTACACTGGGAAAAACGGTATAGACTAGCAAAGACAACTAAATATGTCTATTTAGAATGGCAAAAAGCCAAGGATTAGATTTATAATGTGCAAACTCAAGACTAGGTGCTAGTAAGAACTTGGAAGCAAAGAGAAGTTAACTCTATAATAGAAGGGACCCCTCTGGATGCTGCTCACCACCTCACAGCAGAAAAGCTGGAGAGTTCTAAGATTTGGATCCATCACAGTTGCATAGAGAAGGTTAAAGCCTTTGGAGAAGACTCAGACCATGTCAGGCACTTGGTCTGGCCCCAAAAATGATGATAAAGAGGTAGTTAATGACTTAGCAATTGGAGAGGGCAGGTAGAAGTACCCAGAATAAAAGTGGCTATTAAAGGCCTGCATGGATCTTGCCCTGAAGATGAAATTATAAGAGACACCTGTAGACAGTCCAGAAAAGTTGCCTCCTGTGAGGGAAAGTAATCAGTGTAATGTAGAGTAGTTCCCACTAGCCATGAAACTCACTGGGTGACTTTTAATAGACATGGCAACACATACAAAAACATGAGCAACTTAAACCTGCAGTCTCTCCAGGAAGTAACACCAACTAGCCTTTTAGTATCTTGCCAGCCAAACACATTCCTACAAATGAGAGGTATGCCGCTTGTCCTCCTCCCACAAGATGACGGGCCACTTCCATCTGTTATAACATGCTTTTATAGCTGCTTGTTGCTCCTCAGCTTTGAGCTAAGCATAAAAGACAAAATGTGCAAGTTTTTTCCCCTCAAGATTGCTTCCATTTGATCAATGTTCTCCTATAGAGAAGTTGCTTCATAACTATAGCTATAACACTGTCCACTTCTGAATCACGTTTTTCCAAGGCAAAGACAAGCATTCACATATACAAAATTGTGCCCTAAACAGTATGAAAAGGTTCTCTCCCTGTTCTCTCATCACTTTGGAAACAAACCATTAGAAGAATCACCTCCATCTCCTCTTCTTCCTCCTCCTCACTTTCTGAAGGTTTGTCACATACCGCAAGATCAAGTCGCTCACTTTTCTCTTTCCTCAGAGCAGCATCTGCCAGTTCCATTGCTCTCTTAATCTCAGGCTTTGAACTGTAAAACATGCCTCCTCTCTGGGTATCTCTGCCAGTAGAACCTGTAAGACAAGGAAAAAGTTCCCTGTCCTCTGAAACAGGTAAAAATATCCACTCTTGACTGTTATTTCTTCTCCCCCTTCCTCTCCTAGATTCCCAGTCCAATGCCGGCTGGGGGTGGTGTACTGATCACTGCTTTCTACAAATAAAATGTGAACTTTAATCTGAACCTCTGCTAATATTCTTGAGCCCATTTCCCCACTTGAGTCTTAACACAATGCTTAATCCCCTGTATGATTACCAAATGGAAATCCACTTGTGGATCACTGGATTTATGCCACTGTAGTTTGTTAATATACATTTATGTGGCACTTTGGTTAAAACTTATTTACTTACTGTATTTATAATAGTTTATCCCGTAACACAAGATATCCCTATGACTCATCCAATATAAGGCCAAGCCATTGAAGCTTTTTGACCTCAAGGACTTACAGGAAATGACAGAACTGGAATTAGAGCAGGCATATTTCTTGCTTTAACAGCTGCATCCATTTCTCTCACAGCTCTTCAGATGCTTCCAAGAGCATGCCATTTTCCTGTTCAGGTCAGGGACAGACTTGTATAGTCTGTGACAAGTATCAGGTTGCAGTCGATTGCAATTCCTAATTAGATAGCGTAGTTGTTGTCTGCACTGGATGAGGCCTTGCAAGCTGTACTGCAACATGCATATTGATGGCAACAATCTAGAAAAGGGCCTTCTCCACAGTTGTACCCACTGTGCAAAATGTCTTTAGTATGTAGAAGACAGCAATTGTGAAATGTTTTAGGAATGTGTTAAAGACCTATTTTTTCACACAGGCCTTCCCTGAAAGACTGGGCTCCCCAGTTTTTTGATTGATAGTTCTATTTTTAACTTTAAAAATGGAGAGTGGGATTTTTTTGTTTGTTTCTTTCAAACATTTAATTAAGGTATTTGGTATTCTGTTTTTAAGTATTTAACAATGGATATTTTATAGAAAGTTTATGCTGAAAACTGATTTGTGATGTCTTTTTAAATACAGTCAAATGTTCTAAAAATCAATTAAACAAATGGATGTCTCTGCATACTGTATTTTCCGGTGAAGGAATAAACCATTTTCTCCCACCAGCTACTGAGCAAAAGCAGCAGCAATAGCATAAGTACAAGACCACCTACCTTCTACAGTAATTTATCACACCTCTTACCTGTATATGGTCGTATGTATCTAATGCTAACCCAACCCCTCGATGGGTCATCATCAAAAAACTGTACATGGATGCGAGAGGCTCTTCCTCTTCCTCTGAAAAGTGTTCCTTCTGTGGGATGTCTGTACACGAGGCACGGCCACCAAGGGTACCCTTCAAGTTTAGCCCAAACCAAGTCACCAGGTGAAAATTCACAGTCACTACAAGAAGAAAAACAAATTATCCTGCATAGAACTCACTCTTTTTTTTTTTATTTAATTAAAACTTTTCCCTACTGTCCCTTCACAGACGTCTCGGGATGGTTTACAATTTTCAGAGTGCGGAAAGCCAGTTGATGATAGCTACAGACATCACTGTCCAGTAACAATGGTTTTCAAAATAAGAAACCAGATCCAAAATATATGTTATTCCCCAGAAGTCATCTTAACTGTAAAATCTAAGGGGAGATTGCCCAGTAATAACAAAATATAGGGTTATATAAGCATATATAGACAGGTTTTGATAGCTTAGTTTTCAATAGCTCAGGCTATTTGAGCGAGTGCCTTTATATCACCCTGGTCACTGCAGTCTTCATCCGAAGCCCTCCTGCAAGGAGGAGAGCTTTTTTGAGTATAGCACCCCAACTTTGGAACTAGATTCCATTAGAGTTCTGATTGGCATCTACTCTTCTGGCCTTCAGGTGCCAACTAAAGACATACTTGTACCACAGTTATTTTAATTAGGTGAATTCTTAATTTTCGTTGATGTTTTCAATGCCTTCATCTTAATTTTTAGATTATTATATGCTGCCAATGTTTTCAATGCTACATTTTGCTACAACAATAGCTTTTGTCCTATTCCTGGGTTTTACATATATTCTATTTATTATTTTGTTTTGATTTTATTGAACTCTGATAGCTTATTTGTGACTTTGTTACTCTTTTGTAATTATGCATTGTCATGTTGCATTTTGTACTGGTTTTATGTGGTCTACAGATTTGAGATCCTATGGCTAATGGGGCAGCATATACATCAAATAAAGGCAGTTTGCTTACCAGTAACTTGTTCGAGTGGTCACCTGTGCATTCATACATATGGGGTGCTGTGCCTGCACAGTGCCTGTATTCAGTAAGATTCTCTCAGCTAGTAACATTTTTGGAATGAACTCCACTCCTCGACCTCCTTGTATAAATGGGCGGAGACCGCCAATTCGGCCCCAACATAATACATGATAGAAATTAGATTGTATTGCATCCCAGTCGACACCAATGCAGAGCTGGCAGGTGGGTTGTGTGAATGCACAGGTGACTACTTAAAGCAACCTGCCTTTCTTCATTGTGGTCTCTGTGCATCACACATATGGGTGACTAGCAAGCTTACCGGACTGAGGCAGGATGGTATGGTTATTGAAGAACAGACGAAAAGGACAGCATGGCCAAAATAGCAGTCCATTCTAGCCTTTACGCCAAGATGGTAACATCTGATAAAGGTGGACCATGTAGCAGCTTTGCATGAATCCAGTACAGAAATGTCTGCACGTAAGGCTGATGAGCTGGCCATAGCAATGGATGAATGACCTTTTGGAAGCATTGGCAAGGTCTAGTGAGTTGGGATGAAAGCTTTATGGTTTAAACTATCAATTTCCACAAGCGCTAGGGTCCTATCCATGTTCAGAGTACTTGATAAACAGTCACTTGGTTTTTAGAAACAGTTTGTCTCAGGACCAGTACAAAGCAAGTGACCTGTGGACATAGAGACTGTGGAGTGGCTGTTCAATCGCTGTTGACAGTGCTGGGAAATCTGCCAGTAACACAATTATCTTGGTTGAGGTGGAACACTGTTGCCACCTTTGGGAGGGAAGTTGAGTCCAGATGGAAGACCACCTTGTCCTTATGGAAATTCAAATACCTGAGGGGCGCATAGTTCACTCACCCTCCTACCAGGAAGACTGTTTTCCATGACAGCAACCTTAAATCAGCGGAGGCTAACAGTTTGAATGGAGTTTTTGTTAATGCCCACAGAACTCCTGACAGACTCCATGTTAGTACAATCCGATCAGAGAATGTAGGTTTTGAAGTCCTCATAGGAACTGACGTGTCAGTTGGTGTGAGGTACACGGACGAACCCTCTATATGCCCTCTATGGTATGATATGGCTGCAACTTATACCTTGATGGATGAGGGTTTCAGGCCCCCTTGGTAAAGTGAAGGAATTGTAGAATATCTGCGATAGTTGCAGATTCAGGCAATAAGTTGTTACTGGTCACAGGGCTGAATGTAAAATGTACTGAATGTCTGAATGCAAGCTTGTCAGTACCAAACTCAGACTTGGTACTGAGGTTACTGTATTAGCCATGCTGCTAGTTTCAGCATGTGCAAGTCTGAATGTTGGATCCTGCCCTGTTGCTGAGTGAGCAGGGCAGGACTTTCCAGCAGGTAAATGTATGTCCCTTGGGACAGCGGAAACAGGGTCAGAAACCAAGCCTGGCGAGGTCACCACAGAGTGATCAGTACACCAGTGGCGTTGTTCCATCCAATCTTTGCTAACGTCTTCATTACTAATGGTATCAGAGGGAAGCATAAAACGGGCCACTGTTCCATGGAATCATGAATGTATTGCCTACTGAGTTCTGTCTCATCTCTGTTCTGGAACAGTAGGTAGCACACACTCTGTTTTGATAGGTCATGAACAAGTCTATCAAGGGTCTTCCCCACTGATTGAAGAGATGGTGACAAATTTCTCGATCGAGTTCCCATTGTGTCATGGATATGTAGTGGCTCAAGGAATCTGCTTCTTCGTTCTTGATGTCAGCCAGGTGAACTGCTTGTATGTCCATTCCATGGTTCATGCATCAGTTCCATAGATGAAGAGTCAGTTGAGCCACTACATATCCATGTGCTTGAGTTGTTACAGTGTGCATGGGTTCCTGAAGGCCTAAGACCCAGAAGAAAATGAAGAATGAAAAAGCATGATGGGACTGACCAGACTGAGAAAACCGAGAGGCCGGGAGTGGTTGGAGAATGGAACATAACAGTAAGGTAAGCCCTCGCTGTACCATCCAGAGAGAGAATGGAATGTAACGAGAGTGTGTGTGTTCAAGATAAAGACCAGCATGTTCTGTATCAGCTCTGCTCAGAAGAGTTCACTGTTTGATCCAGTTGGACCAAGCTGATAGCGTCAACTTTAAGCTATAAAATGATTGGGATTTCCAGCTCCTGTGTGCCAGAACAGCACTACAACTGGTCACCCAGAGTCTCGATGGATCACCAAGAGTATGAGTGTTGCATGAATGTGTGAATGAGGCCTCTTGATATAGTTGCTGATGATTGCTGAACTTGTATTCTTATACTTCTGTATTCTTTATATCATAGAATAAATGTTACATGCATAGTGTTTAAAACCAGATCTGGCATTCAGTCTCTTTGATAAGGGTTTTCCTTGGAAACCTGATAGTCTCCTCTTTATTTAATCAAGGACCGCTTTATTACAGTCAGTCTCAGTTGGGCAAGTGAGGTCGTGAAGAGGATCTTGGCAATGGGCTTGGCATGTTGCAAGGAGATGGTCTTGGTGTTGTCTGTACTGAAGGAGGATGGAACGAAGGCTTGCTCAGTACTGACGTGCCTTGTTCCACTGCAGATTGCTGTAGAACATCCTTCCATGCTATATCAGAATGGTGTTTTTCTTCTCCTGGTTCTCCTTTCTGGGATGTTTTTCTTTAGCGGTCCTTTTTTGTCTCAAGATGCTTCCTTTCCTCCTTGTGTTTTTAGGAGACTGAGACCACCCCGAGCGCTCTTTAGCAGACTCAGAGCTCTCACCATGTTTGGCATGCTGAAGGACCAGCAGACTGAGCTGTGGTAGCCTCTCTCATTGTGATCAAGAGCTCTATCCTAGAGCTCTTTCTTGAGGCAATTTCATGGTTCTTGCAAGCCTGTTTGGTGAAGGCTTGACAACGGACAAAATTGTCCATGCAATGTCCTTCACCCAGACAGAGCAAATGTGTGTCTGTAGACGGCATTTTCGTTCCGTACTGAGCATACCTTCTAAAAGCAGAACACTGTGCCATCGAGGGAGAGTAAGAAAGCATAGCCTAGAAAAGAAAAAATGCTAAGATGAGTTTTATTTTTAGGGGAGGAATATGTGAGGGAAAGGGGGAAAACGAAGGGATTGTGAAGGGGGGTTTTGAGTTTGTGGAAGGTTTAAAGTTTCAAAATTAAATAAGAAAGGTTTGTGAGGGAAATCGAACATAGTAAGAGAACCCAAGGCACAGTGAACAGTGGTCAAAAGCAGACTGGTGATAGGATGGGGACTCTGCTCATTTATACGAGGAGGTGGGTGAGAGCATTCCTGCCAAAAATGTTACTGGCTGAATCTTCCCGAATACAGGCACTGCACAGGCACAGCATTCATGTGTGTGATGTACAGAGACCACGACGAAGAAATAAATAATCTGGTTCTTGTGTACCCCCCCCCCAAAAAGGATTTCATTAAAAAATCATTTTATTTATTTATAACTTTTGTACACCATCCCCCATACAAGGCATCTTTTATTTTTAAATAAAATGCTTTTGAGGGGAAATTAGTTTTCTATTTAAGATACATTAGAGTTGAAAGGTTATTCACCATGAAATAAGGATTAGTTTTTAATTATGTAGCACAAGGCTGTATATTCATGCAATGCTATTTTTTTGGTAAATCAATTCCTGTCTTGAGGCCGAAGCACTCCTCCTAATCACTCACACAGGAACAGGCAATAAAGGTTTAAAGCCTTTTATTCTAAACAACTTCAAAGATATGCAGGCAATGAATAATACAGACACTGTTAATGGCAGTTCTAAACAACACAGATGCCCCCTCCTTTCTGACCTATCTCAGATTTATGATGCACTCTTCACCCAATGGGAATGCCCCTCCCCAAGAGGGCTAGATAACCTCCTCTCCCTCCTTCTTTGACTTTGCCTCTTCTAATTGCTTCAGACACCAAAGTCTTCTCCTCAGCTGGGCATTCTCCATGGCGTCCCACAGCAGCATTATCTCCCTGATGAATGCTGTCTCCTGGCTGAAGAAAAACTTCGTCAAAGCCAGGTGGTGGGGTGGGGTGGGGGGTTGTGCCATGGGCACCAAGTAGAAATCTTCTTGCTCTAAGGCCTGACTCTCACTGGGAGCTTCTTGCTCTCTTACACGTGCGAACGACTCCTCTGAGTCATTAGGAACGACAATTCCA